AAAAAAGCGTGGCAAATGACGACTTTGAAGATCCACGCCAAATTTCAATACCAAGGAAGAACCAATTCACATTCCAATACTAATCAATGTCCCCACTAAAACCTTTGACTGATCTCCATATTATCAATAAATTATTTTTTAATTCTACACCAACTCGTTCTGGGGAAACAGACTTTTATTTTACACCATATAAAATTAATTCATCATAATAACCACCCGTGCTACCAGTACTTTCTCACCTTTCTTCCAAATGGAAGATATGAGAGATTCAATTGCAGTGCTTCGGATTGTGAGGATGGTTATCAAGTTTCATCCATTATTGACAATAACCAGTCTTATCTATTGGGTAATCCTTTTGCAAGATTGGATTGAAGATGAGGTGAGCAATCAATGGAAAGCTCTCAAGGTTTATTTCCAATCGACAGTGAGATCTCTACTAGATCCTATTATTGAGAAGATGAAGAATTTATCAAAAGCCCTTGAGATGCATCTCCATAATGAAGCAACAAAGGGTCAGCTAAAGGCCAAACTAGTCGGCAAACTTGCTATGTTCTCTACCATATTTCTTTTACTAAATACAGACTTAAGTTCAAAATATGATAAAAGAGGAGTCAAAATGCAGTTATTGATGCTTATTGGCCTTGGCTCGTAACACATTCAAAACGTTGGAGTCAATTTGAAATTCTTCGTGGAAGGTGTAGCTGCATGGTAAATTCAACATCAAACTTCACCTTCTTTATTATAGCACTTCTTTTTGCAAAATTTTATAATAATTCCTTGAGGGGCCTCAGTGCTATGTTGTGCATCTTAGTTTTTCTTCTATGTGTACTAGTGGTATTATGACCGCAAACAAACCTTGGGTTGTTTAGTTTTATCATTGGAGTCATTGAATCTATTGCTTACAACCGTTATGAGTTGAAGTCTCCCACATGGATAATTGCTTCCATCTATTTTGTGTTGTTTAGCTTTAAGAGCTGGTTAGATAAGTACTGGTTGGATTTGGAAGAAGATCCTAATACAAATACCACAATTGAAAGTGCTAGTGTGTTTTTTTATTATTTTGTCAACTGCTATGTATTTTGCAAATAGTATCTTTGCGTCTTCTAATGTCAAATCTCCCTCATTCGACTATAGAAACTGGTTAGTTAAGGCAATTGGTATTGTGGTTCGAAGTCTCTATAAGTCCTATCATAATTCCAAATATAGCTCAATGCCTTCTACAAATACCAAACGAATCAATGGTTTGACTTTGATGGTTGTAAATATTGCACATGCCATGTTCAAGTTTGCTCTTATCACATCTCACATGGCCAATTATAAAGATTTGTTATTTGCAGTAATTAGTTATATCATTTTTTGTTTCTGGTTACAAAGCTCTTTTCCCAAAGATATGTTTCCGCCCTTTACAAATACCAAAGGAATTAAAGATAAGATTTGGGCTATTCAATATGTCGCCAAATATGATATTGTGGTGTTGCCTAGTTTCAAACCCCGAGTGTACTATAGAGAATGGCTGGTTATGGTAACCTATTATGTGCTTTGGTGGGTTCAGTTTCTTATGTCATTTCCCAAAGATCTGTCACTACTGTTCAACACAATTGAATTTAAAGCTCGTGGTGGATAGTGATGGCATTACTTAACATTGTTCCATATGTCATATCTTTGATCGAACTGTCTAGAACAACATGTCATCAACAACTACAAAGATGAAAATGTTAGACACTAGCTTAAATTATAATAAGTACTTAGATACATGAAAATTTTATATTCTTGTGTCATCTTCTTTTCAAGTATACGTTTATACCCAGTGTACTTATTAAAATCAACCAATCATCTATAATTTTTTAGTCATTTGTGTTTTGTTCATTTGAATTTGTACATACTAATAAAATTGGATTCTGTACAACCTATAACTGCGATGAATTTAACAGCTCATATAACTCAGGTAATCGCCATATTGCTGCCCCATATGATTCACCTTCAACAATGGAAAAGATATTGAAAAATTCCCCATCATTTTTTTTTTATACGTTGCCCAAAGCAAATACAAAAACCCCTTTTCTTTTAACCCACTGAATTTCACACAAGTCTAACAGAAAGCAAAAATGATATGCCTACATGTAAAAACTGAACATGAATTGATAAACGTCACCCTGGTGATTAAACAATTAAACATTTTTCCTACAAGATGGAATTATAGGATGGAAATCATGGAATTGAGTTACAAAAACTGGATTCCACATATTGCAATACAAAGCAACAGCATAGCTTCGACTGAAATTCTATAAAAAGATCCAATGACATACGAGTGAAGTTTTGCATCAATTTTGCTGTTTCTAACCGTTAAAGATCTAACGAAGCTGTAGAATTGTCAAAAGCAGTGAAAATCTAATGCGACAATGTCCAGGGATCAAGTCCAAATCAACTTGGGTGATTGAATGACAAAATAAACATAAAAAACAGAAAAATAACAGTTACCAGTAAGGAAAACAGTAGAAAACATGCGTTGATCAAAGGGGAACGAAACGAGATCCCAGATCTCATTTAATTAGGATGCCAAAACAAGTCCTCACATATAGCTCCGTTCCGTTGGAAGACAGGCGAATCAAATGCACCTGCCAGATTCCAACACATTCAGTTCGAATTACCAAATGCAGCACTCCGATTCAGAAACTGAAGTATAAATCAAGCACAACCTCGTTTTCTTCTTTGAGGCTGAGAGTTCCGGTGAGGAAGCTGGTGTGATCTGAGTCTGCCTTGACATCGGAAATGCATAGCACGAACTAGGATATTACGATCAATTCTGAGGTAGGTTAAGTAACAAATATCAAGGTGTAGAATTGTTTATTTGATTTATTTAACCAATTTATTTATCTTATTTGTTACTTATTTATATAATTAAAATTTTATGTGTACTAATTATATTTAGTATCTATATAATAAAAATAATTTTTAAAAATTAAAAAAAAAATAAAATACAAAACATAAAAATAAAAGTTTAATAGGATTTATAAACCAAATAATTCATACATGTAGTAATAACAACTTGATAAATAATAAAATTTAAATCAAACACATAACATACATAACAATAATATTTTATTTAGATTTTTTCTTTCTCTAAATCAAATATATAAGTATAGACTTATAAAATACCTGACACTTGTTGGGTTAAATACTAAATATAATATTTAGGTAAGTACCAAGTCTAAAAAACTATACTAAAAAACTTTCAAATCAAATATCAAATGTAATTCATGCTTGGCCTATATTTGAAAATGCTTACCCTTAATTTGGATGCTTTACAACTTATGGCATTGGTTTCCAATCATAGGTGGTGGCCAAATTATATTTTCGCCATTTGAGAGTTAAGTGTACATTTTACAAATTATATGAATTGCCAAGTGGAATATATTTGTAAGTTTAAGTAGAGTACATCTACCATAAATCACATTGAGAGCAAGTACAATTCGCTCCTTTTATCTTTCTCAAATAATTAACTTTCGATCAATTTAAAATTTAAATATGATATCAAGTTCAAATTTATTAAGTTTTTATTGATTAAAATACCTCTTATCATACAAACAAGTATAATGATCCTTGTTGAGGCTAGTTCGAACCACCTTTGAGCGAGGCCAAACAAAATCAAGCCTAACAGCACAATCCACCGTTGTCAGGCATATATACATGCGGGGCACCTCATACACATGAGGACATCTGTGTGGATGTTAAGGCATTGGATTTAAAGATAACCAAGAGCATATCGACACACGGATACCCTATCGCATCCAAAAGATATTTCTTTAGAAACACTCTTTGATTTATAGCTTCTTTCTTACTGTTTTTTCAAGTCTACGTTCAGATCTTTACAAGTCACCTTAGACGAACCTGGTTGCAGATTCCCTCATAGCTAAGCTGGTAAGTTAGAAGAGCAGAAAGGTTAAAACTTCATTTTGCTCTATTTACTTTAATAATTTTTTTTTTAATTCTTTTACTTAAGAAGATTATTTTTTGGTCTTTAAAATTTATTATTTAGTTTTTTTTAGTCAATCCTTTACCTTTTTACAAACGTAACATATTAGATAACAAAAATTTTAAAATAGAGGGATTAAAAAGTAACTAAAAAAAGTTTTTTTTGGTTCCTTTGCTTTTAAAATACTCCTTTTTAGGCCTTCTACTTTAGAATTTTTGTTATCTAATATACCAAGAATGCCAAAAGATAATGAAGGGATTAAAAATAGGATAGATAATAAATTTTAGACACTAAAAAAGGATTTTTTTTAAGCAAAGGGATTAAAAAGAAACTTTTTATTAAAATAAAGAGACCCAAATAAGAGTTTTAACCAAGCAAAAATTATCTACTCTTTTGTTCTAAAATAATTACTCCATTCAATTTTAATAGGTTTAGAACTTATTTAATAAAATGAAAATATAATAATTTATTGATAAAATTATATATTTATTATTAATTAAGTATACTATTTAAATAATTCTTCTTATTTAATATTATTATAATTATCTTTTTAAAATAAGAGTAAAATAAGAATAAATGCATTAAATGACATTCTTAAAAGAAAAAACAAATAATTAAATTTGAATGCCCCAAAATAAAAATTAAGTCTACAAAGTTTTATTTTTTAAAGTAGAAAAATATTTTTTCTTACTTTTATTCTATTCTATTTAATTATCTTATTACAAAAAGCTTATTTTTATATTTTATCTTTTTTTGAAGAATTCTATAAATAAATATATAAAATATATAAATTCTTAAATTTCTTTTAAAAGACAATCATTTATTTATCTATTTTTTATCTTACATTGTATAATTAGAGGCAATTTTTTCACTTTTTTTAACTCATCTTACTTGTATATCATACTACTTGAACTCAATCCCCAAGTTATTACTATTATATCGGCATACGTATTGATTTTGCCATTAATATGGTATGTATTGTATATTGAATAATATCATGTACTTAGATTTACAGCTATAAATATATATTTTTTATAAATTAAAAATAAACTTTTATAACTATACTTATAAATATAAACATACATCATAACATTTATATAGTATTAAAAAGAGAATAAACTACAATTAATTTGTCATAATAAGTGAACTTAAATCCACTATGTGTGATCCCACCTCCTATTTATCTTGTAAAAGGCCAAAATTCCTCCAATACTTTAACTTTACAGCATTTTCTTCTTCTAACCATCAACAATTTAAAACATACTGCTTCTCTCCTCTCTCTTTAAAACTTTTAATTTCTCACTTAATGTTTCAATAAAATTTTGTATTTGTTATTTTAGAGGTTCTTGCAATTTTTAAAAATTGTTATGGTTACCTTCTTTCATGATCTATATTATTAGGCTTAAAAGGAAATCCACATTATTCAAGTTCTCTTTTCATTTTCTTGTCTTATTTAGGTATTACTAAAATTATATTTTAAGTTGCATTTTGCATTTAAGCTTTTTTTTCCCTATTTTTTAACTTCTTTTTATTTGTGTGTTGTTTATGCATACCAACTAGTACACCAAATTTTAGTAGGTACAACAATTACAATTGGTATTTTTTTTTTTGAACAGCAAACATACCATTATTAATTAATAAGCGGAATACAAGGGGTACTCCAAACCCATGTACATCAAAAGTTAACGCAAGGTGTCGATACCCAAAAGAAGTGTCGACACTACGCCGTGACGGGGATTCTGCTATCATTTGCATTCTCAACAATTCTCCCTGTTTAGGTCCACAAACCACACCCGACACACCCACTGACCCACAAGCCATTGATCATGCATTGACTATAGCTGAAATCCACTACAGTCAATGATTGCTCAATAAGCCTACATGAGCCCCCATTACACAGCACCTTAATCCTTCGAAACAAAACGAAGATAGACCTTCCAACTATCACCAATACCCTCCCCTCCCACAGATTATTTATATGGTACCCTTCTTTTCCTAAGGCCATCTTTCAAGCATGCCACTGGATTAAGAAACCAATCCGTTAAAGTGAAGGCGTACCTTTCTTTTTTTGCTGTGATCTAATGAAACGACTTTAATTGGATGAGTTCCAGCAGCTTCTCCCGGTTAATCTCTTTGCCTTGGAATGTTTTTTGATTTCGAGCCAGCCACACTGTCCACACAAGAGAGTTCCAAATGCAATCCCATCCTTCTCTAATACATTTCTCTTTTAGTTCTCTTCCAACCACTTGAAAGGTATTCCAGCAGTCCGCTCCCAGAGTAACATTAATACCCCACCATTTTGCACAAGCCATCCATATCCATCGGCCCATACTACATTCCAGAAACAGATGCTTTGTGTCCTCTTCTACCTCACCACAAATTCCGCATTTGCAGTCTTGAGTGTCTTTGATGATCCCTTTTGTCAACAGGTTCATTTTAGTTGGAATCCTGTCAAGTAGTAATTGCCAGTTGAATGCTGAAATTTTGCTTGGTAGAACGGAATTCCAAATTCTAGAGAAGGTTGTAATTTCCATTGCTTCCCTCCCCTCTTTCATTAAAATTGAGTATGCTGATTTTGTTGAATATTGGCCATCCTTGTTGTGAGTCCACTCCCAGCTATCCATGTATCCTTGTGACGGTTGCACATTTTGAATCGTGTTGTGTAATTCCATTGCCTCCTCTTTTTCCCACTCGAACAAATTCCTTCTCCATGTTAAGTTCCACTCCCACAAACCGTTAGTTCTACTTCCCATTTCACTGCACGTCTTCGTCTTCTCTGTAGATAACAAGTACAGTCTTGGAAACATATTAGCGAGACACTCCTTTCCCCTCCATTTGTCTCACCAGAAACTGACCGTATTACCCTCCCCGATCTTAACCCTAAATCCCTCTTTTAGCCATCCATTGCTTTCCCCATCCATTGCATTTATACCACACACATCCCTCCACCAAGTTGATCCTACTCCTCTACTTTCATCTATCCAATCCTGCCAATGCCCCCCTCCCTTTCCATATTTTGCAACAATAATTTTTTTCCACATGCCTTCCCCATGCCTTCCCCATTTTCTGCAAGCCTTCCCCGCCATTTTCCCATCAATGCCAAATTGAATTTCCTCAAGTCCCTCACTCCTAAACCTCCTTCCTCTTTTTTTTTACACACTTTATCCCAGCCAATCCAGTTTATTTTTCTCTCATCTCCCTTCCCCCCCCCCCCCATAAAAAACTTCTACGTAATTTATCAATGGAATGAATTATACCTTTTGGGATAATATAGATAGACATCAAGAATACTGGCAAACTTGACAGCACTGAATTGATGAGCATAATGCGGCCTCCCATAGATAGATACCGACCCCTCCAGCTGGCTAACTTCTTTCTAATAGACTCCACCATCGGCTACCACATAGCTCTTCTTCTGTGATTCCCTCCAATTGGTATTCCCAAATACCTAAATGGCAATTTCCCTTCCTTGCAGCACAACTGAAATGCCATTTTAGCACACCAATTTTGATCAACTCCCACACCAATCAACTGGCTGTTCTTGAAATTAATCTTCAATCCTGAGGCTAACTCAAATGTCCTCATAATACATTTGATCACCCAAATGTTGTCTTCCGTTGCATCTCCAAAGAAGATTGTGTCATCCGCGAATTGAAGGTGCGTGACCATCACATCTTTGCTCCCAATTACCACTCCTTTGTACCTCCCCTTCTCCACAGCCGATGCCACTATTCCATTCAATCCCTCTGCCACTATCAAGAATAAGAACGGGGATAATGGATCTCCTTGGCGAATTCCTTTATTAACTGAGAATTGGTTTTTCGGACTGCCATTGACAAGAATAGACACCAAGCTCGATTTCAAGCACTCCTGGATCCATTTCCTCCATGTTGCACAGAATCCCATCCTCATCATTATATATTCTATGAATTCCCAGCATACCTTGTCGTAGGCTTTCTCAAAGTCGACTTTAAATAGAAATCCCTTCTTCTTTTTCCTCTTAACTTCATCAATAATCTCATTTGCAATCACTGCTCCTTCCACTAAATGCCTTCCTTCAATAAAAGCCATCTGCTGTTCCCCAATCACCTTGGGCAGCACCTTCCGTAAACGATTTGCTAGAAGCTTTGCAATGATTTTGTATGTGACTCCTATCAAGGAAATTGGCCTGTATTCCTCGATTGCTTGTGGATTTTCAGTTTTTGGAATTAACACAATGAAGGAAGCATTTCACCCTTTGACCAGTCTGTCATGTTGTTGGAACTCCCGTACAAAGTTGACAATATCAGCTTTTATAACATCCCACATTGACATGATGAATCTGAAGTTGAATCCGTCTGGTCCTGGGGATTTGGAAGGGTCACAGTTCCATATTGCTTCTTTAATTTCCTGTTCTGAAAAAGTAGTCGTGAGGAGCTCATTATCAGCCTTTGTGATTTGCCTAAAGCCTATTCCATCTAGCTTTGGTCTCCTCCATTTTTCTTCTGTGAACAAATCTTGGAAGTATTTAGCAATCTCTCACTTTAATACCTCCACTCCTATATACTGCTCCCCATTTATCCGGACACTATTGATCTCATTCTTGCTCCATCTTCCCTTGATGCTTCTGTGGAAGAATTTTGTGTTCGCGTCACCTTCCTTCAGCCACTGTTTTCTTGATTTTTGTTGACTCATCCTCTCCTTGATTTTTAAATTCTTCCACAATTCAATAAAACTATTCCTCCTCAATTCAATGTCATTTTCTGACAACTGGTGCTGCTCTCCTTTCTCATCAATTGAAGCGATCACTAGCTCTGCATTCCTTATTCTTTCATCCATCTCCCTGTTGGTTTTGCCACTCCACTCCTTTAGTGCCTTCTTTGTTCTTTTCATCTTTTCTTTAATTTTAAATCCATTCCAGCCGTCCACCTCGTTGTCACACCATGCACTCGTAATCACCTCCTTACATCTCGATTGATCCAACCAAGCATTAAAAAATCTGAACGGCTTTGGACCCCAGTCGACCTGCTCATTTTTTATCACTATAGGGCAGTGATTTGATACATTCCTCCTTAATCCCCACTGTTTCATATCACTCCACTTTGATATCCATTCTTCTGAAAACAGAAATCTATCAATCCTGCTCATTTGATTCCCATTTGAATTATACCAAGTATATTTTCTCCCTATCAAAGGCAAGTCAAACAATTCATTGTTGTGGATGAACGCATCGAACTCCCTCATTTCATTGGACACCACCTTACAACCCGCTCTTTCCTCAACCCTCGTTACAGCGTTAAAATCCCTTGTTAAGCACCACATCCCCCTTCTATTACTAATTAGATCTTGCAGCTCCTCTCATAAGGCCCTTTTTTTTGTAATTTGACACGGAGAATAAATGTTTATTATGAACATCGGTATCTCCTCCAGTCCCCACAGTCCAAACACCCCTATAAAATTTTCACCTTCTATAGTCTCCTTCTTCTTCAATATTTTAGTGTCCCAAATACATATCAAACCTTCAGACATTCCATTAGAAGACTTAGCAACCCAATCCATATCCTCAGACCCCCATAAAGATCTACATATTTTCCTATCAACTGCATCCATCTTGGTTTCTTGAATTGCTAAAAATTGAACTTTTTCTTTGACAACTAACTCCTTAATCTGTGATTTCTTCCCCACCCCTCCAAGCCCCCTAATATTAAATGACATAATTATCATTGGGTGCATCACATACCTTCCCACCAGCTTCAACCTCTCGGTTTACCATACTCCTTTTTGTACTTCGATCTCTGTCCTCCATCTCCTCAATTCGTTGAATCACCTCATTGTCATTCTCCGCCACCGCCCCTAGCTGCGTCGCCAAGTCCCATATCTCTTTTGTAAGTTGGGATTGCCATTGTTTCTTCAATGCCCTATTGCAATTATTTATCTCACTATCCCCTATTGAATCTCCAGCAACCTTCCCCTCCTGATTTGGCATGAAGATTGGTTCTGGTCTCTCTTCCACCTGCTGCGCGATCTTCTTCTTTCTTCCTCTTTTTTTTTCCACCGGTGCCTCACTATTTCTGGGTTGGATATACACCGAGCTACACCTTCTGACCTTCCTTCTACCATTTTTTGAGTTGATCTCCTCCAGCTGTTTGTCGATCCATTCTTTTATTCGGCTTTTCTTTGATTCATGATCCTTCCAGAATGCATCTTCTTCTTCATTGCCCTTCTCTTCTGCAGATTTTCCGATTCCATACATGTCTCTGTTTTGGACTGTAATTGGGGTCTCTAATAGAGTTTCTTTTTGGGCCACTTCCACATTTGTGGACTCCATTGCCATTGGGCTTTCTCCCTACAAGGTGGGCCTGGTTACCGTTTGATTACTGGGCTTCATTTTGAGATTATTATCTTCTGATTTTGATTTTCCAATTTTCGAAACAGAGGCCTGCATCGTCTGTCCTGTAGCCACGTCCTTTGTTCGCCTACTTCTTACACTTGCATTTGAAATTTGAATTTCTTGCAGGTTGTCACCAACGGTTTCTGCAGAATCCCCTACTTTCTTGCTAGATTGAACTTCATTTCTTCTTTCTTCATCTCTCTTACGTCATCATCTTCTTCGATTGAACACCCGGATGGAACCTTCTCTTTCCTCCTTTCATCTTCCTCGTCCTGCATCTTCGATTCGGTTCCGGTAGACCATGTTTCATAATCTTCAAAGTCGCTACTAAAGGAGGGCCTAAAATCTTGTTTCAAAGAGAAGAAACAATTAGTGTATTCCTCCTCTGTAAATTTCAGCTTGTATATACTTCCATTGATTTTGATTTCCCTTGTAACATTGATTGTCTCCATTACTGGAGAAGAAATAAAAAATCTAGCAATGTCAAACCTTTCCTTCTTGCTTGTACTGTCATCCAAGCAAATAAATTTTCCCCATGATCTACCCATGGTTGAAAAGAATTCACTTCCCCATACATTCAGTGGTGCTCCTTGACACCTTATCCACACAAATCTCTCTTTTGCTATCATCTGTGGTGTCCACGGTCTCACTTCTTCAAACCATCGCCTCAGCCAATCCGATGCCATTTCAACTAAGTCCTTCACTTCCTCCTTGTCCTGCCCAGATAACAGAACCATTTTGCCTCCCATTGCTCGGATTTGACAAGAAAAATACCCCTCCATATAGAATTTTTCTTGTAGGTTGCGTACCATCTCCATTGAATGCACTATTCCAACATAGCTGCCTTCGAGCCAAGCATACTCTTCTGGTTTGATGTTGAACTCCATACTTGCCCAATTGTCTCCCCTTCCTTTTTCTTTCCACACTTTCCTATTACCGGATTGCCGATGATCGTGCCTACTTCTGTCTCTGTATCTCTTTTGCATATCTTGCCCTACATGCTTCTTAGATTCTTTGCCAATACTTCTATCTCTGCCACAGGTGGCCATGCTCTATATGTTTTGTTCCCCTGCCATCTCCTTCTCTTGTGATCCTTTTACCATCTCAGCATAACTTCTACTCTGAACATTTGCCATCCTTCCATTATCTTTTCTTTTCACCCCAACTTCCTTCTTCTCAGAATCGAACTTTGGCATGTTCACCCACAATTTTCGATCTCTTACCCAAATCTGATCCAACTTCCTTTCCATTTCCTTCGTGTCAGTCACCCCTAGAAATCTCACAAAGCTGAATCTACTTCCATTCCTGCTTCTTCTATTTGGAGAATAGATGTCATAAACTCGGCCAAACTTCACAAATGTGCTCCACTTTTCTTCATAGCTCCAATCTTCTTCATAGCTCCAATCGTCTGGCATGTTGGTAAAGAAAAAATGTGTTGCTTGTTTGTATAAGCCCCAGTTATAAGGCCCATCTCTCTGCAATTTTTGACCCTAGTTTTGATCATACATTGCTTTCCCCCATTCCGCCGGTTCCCTATTCCTCCGATATCTGCTACGACTGAATCCGCCAAGCTTCCAGTTCAGTGCCGGTTGTCTGTCCCATGATCGGTGCCCGTCTCGATCCCCCCTCTCTCTCTCTCTCTACCTCTCTCTCTCATCTCTTTTAAGTTCGACGATTCATTTTCTTTCCTCTAATTACAATTGGTATTTGATTGGTATAATTGATATTTGATCTAGTATAGTATTTAAAATATAATATACTAATTTTACTTTTAGGACATGTTTAGTAAAATGGTTAAAATTTAGCAATAGCAAGTAATAGATAATGGATAGTGGGTAGCGAATAGCGAGTAACAGATAACGTATAATGAATAATGGGTGGCGGAAAGTGTGTGGTGAATAATAGACAATAGATGTGATTAATATAATTATTTGGTTATATAATCGTTAGTGGTTATTATTTAAAATTAAATGATTAATAAATAAATATTTAACAATAATTAAGATATTTTTTTTCT